GGAAACAGCAAGAGCCCAAAGGGACAAAAATCAGGAAAGCAAAGAAAAAACAAGGTCCTTGCAAAAGGAGGTCAAGGACAACAAGAAGAGGTTCTATAAGCATGCCGGCCAGAAAATAGGGACCAAGGAAGCTGTGAGTCCTTGAAGTTGCAGCAAAGTACATGTAGACTGAATATCTGAAAAAGTTCTTCACTTTTAGAAGTGACGCAGTGGAATCAACTGCCTTATGGAAGTTGTGGACTCTCCATCTTTGGAGGTGTGCCAGAAGAGGTTGGAGATCAACTGGTCAGGGATAAGCTATGCCTATGCTCTACTATGTGCATTTCCAAAGCTACTGGGCTTTGCTGGTTGCTCTCCCTGCCCCACTTCCACTCCTTTCTGCTACATGTCTGAGGGTATTTTTAAGTGTTTTTCAGAAGGCACTAGGTGTTAGCTACAGCCAAGGTGGGGGACTTTTACTGGGGTGTTCCAGTGCTCCTGCTGAGACCAAGGCCAGAGGTTCCTGGCTAGAAGGTCTTGCCCCTCTACTCAGGGGCAGACCGACTGCCATATTTAGAAGGCTAGACTGGTATGAACTGTTGGGGTTCTTGCCTTCCTCTGTAGAGGGGGCATGGTTCCACTGCTTTACATGTGGCAGGTTAGGGTGCTACATCTGTGTTGTGTCAGGGTTGAGGAGAGTCTTATGTAGAGTTCAGATTATGGTTTATATAGGACTGTTTGGACAGGGGTGATCCTGCCTCAGGCAGGGGATTGGATTAGATGACTTCTGGAGGTCCCTTCCAGCCCTCCTTCTCTATGAGTCTATGATAGCCACAGCCAGAGTGGGGGGGTGGGTTACAAAAATAATCTATGTTCTGCAAACTTGTCTTCTAAGAAATCCTTAGAAAGTTTTTACAATTTACCAGGGTTTCAAACAGTATAAATCCAAAACACTTATATATAGTGAATTGGTCCTTAGGCTTCTTAATAAAAAGTATTTTACTTTGTAACTAAAAGGAAGCTTGGTGAATCTTGTCACTAAGCAGATGAGCAACCCCCATTTGTCAACTGTGCCCCAGAATATCTTTTCCTAGACAAGTAGTTACCAGGGCTCTAGAACACTGTTCTTTTCAGGATAACTATGGCAATTTAGTAGATTATAAAATTTGCTTGCTTGTTTCTTCTGATCCCTCTTTATGGGCTCCAATTCAGGCTTAATATCTCTGGGAGGAGTCATGAGATGACAGAAGCATATTTTCAGAACAGATTATCCATTCCCTTCCACTGTTCCCTAGTTCCAAACACAACCCTTCACTACCTAAATTACATATTTCTCCATTTAACTAACAGTGTCTATAGATTTCTGTTGAGTTATGGAGGAAGAGAACTGCAGAACTCATCATTCGGTAATATCAGAGAGCTTGCACCACATTTGCACTGAGAAGACTACCCACAATCGCCGCCACACAAATCTCAAAAGGGCTTTCACCCAATAATGACATTTCCCCAGAGAGATCGCACTTTGGAAAGAGCCACCCCGATACCACACGAAGATTTTCTGCAGTGCAAAGAGGAAATCCCCATGAATCGCACACAATTATTTATGACATACCATCCTTCCCTGGAACCTAAATGGAAAATCCTCAAACAATTGCAACCCACACTAGAAGACAACCCAATTCTTAAAGAGATGTTTCCAGAACCACTCATTTTAGCTTTTAAACAAGCACCAAACCTTGCTAACCTCATCACCAGAAGCAAACCCTCTATGACTCGAACCAACCCAAATGGATCCAGACCATGTCAGGACAAGAAATGCAAAACCTGCCAACAAATTTCCACCACTCCCACAATAAGCACAACCCACAACAGAGCCATGACCATTCCTAGATCTTACACCTGCATTTCCAGAGACAATGCATCTCATTCAGTTCACCAAATGCCCCAGTGGAAAGTATGTAGGAGAAACCAAACAACTGTGTACCAGAATGAATGCACACCAAAAATCCATCAGACAAAAATATCCAATTACCGGGGGGGGGGCACGCTTCTAACAGTACAATCACTCCCGCTCTGACCTCTCAGTTCTAATACTCAAAAGGAACTTACAAAACACCTTCTGTAGACGAGCCTACAAACTTCACTTAATAAATCTACTGAATACAAAAGATCATGGACTTAATACAGATATTGAATTTATGACACATTACAACCTGCCTGACATGAACCACCGGGTACATGAATGAGCTTACCACCTGCATTCTTCTCCCCCCACCTTTTCCCCTTCCTCTTCTATCTCTACCCATCATCTTCCCAATTTTTTACAGACTTCTTGTCACACTTTTTTTTAGCTTCTTTTCTACCTTGGAGATCTCAGAACAAAAGCAGAGTCTCACAATACCTGAAGAGGGGTGCTTGTGCCCGAAAGTCTGCAAAGATTTTTTTTCCAACTATTTAGTTGGTCTAATAAAATATATCACATCTACCCAAAGAACCTTGTAAGCTAGGGTCCTAATTTACAGAGCACTATGCCTACATGTGGACATTCTGTGTTGCAGTAACTTCTCACCTCTGTGACTTTCTAAAAACTTAGAAGATTTAATTCATTTGAGTAATGAGTACTTGCAGAAATAGCAATTTGGCCTCTCAAACTAGATAGGCATAAACCACAAATATCCAAAAGCTGTCTTTGGTCATAACACAAATGAGTTTTGTGAAACAGAGACGATGAAATCCAGCCTTTATGGCACAGATCCCAGACATGTGTGACTGTACTTTACAAATAATTCGGATCGTTAATAAAACAACCTTGAATATTTTTTTAGAAGGCATTTCTTACTAGGTTCGCAGAAACATTAAAGTTATATCTAATCCAGAACAGAAGCTGGTTCTGTGATTTCATTTGTTAATGGAAATGACGAAATCAAGTAACAGCTAAGCAAAGAAGATATTTTATCCCACTAGACCTAAAATGTCACACTCAAGATGTATTTGTACATGTCTATTACTAGATAAGGTCTCCAACAGCAATAGTTAGATAGGTCATAGATCACAGAACATGAATCAAGTGGGTACATTTAATACTTGAATACAATTTAAAAACAGAACAACCAGGAAATTCAGTGGAATCAAGAGCAATAACTATTTTACAATTACAAAGGAGATTATACAGCAAATATAAAGAGTCAGGAGGAAAGGATGCCAAGATAATAGATACAGTGTTAAATACATGGAAGAGAAGATTAGGAAATGTTACTAGCAGTTAGAAATCTTTTATACCTTTAGACTTTGGGAACAGGAGAAAGACTAGTACTAATATTAAAAAGTGAGCTACATACAGGCCACTACAAAAGTAAAACATTCTTGAGGAAGCCCCTCCCTCCTAATCCTTACACCTTTAAAGTGTACATGGTAGTAGTTCTGCACAATAAATACGAGTTCAATAAGAAACTCAAAAATGAAAATCTCAAATGGCAATATTCAAAAGGGGTTTTTTGATGCAGCAGAACACTAAAGAATAGAAATGAGAAATATCAAAATATCAAAAAATTGTTTGGGAAGATTAAGCACACTCAATGTGCAAGGCAAACATAGAACTGTAGTTAGTAAAACAAAAAAGTTCAAAATTAAAGTTACATTTTAAAATATTCTGAGAATGAAGTTAGCATTAGCCTAATTACATCCTGAAAAAACTGCCACTGTGCATTTTTGGCAAACAACTTAAAATAGAGCTGAAAAAACTTGGATCTAAGCAGAAAATCCATTTTAAAATTACCAGGGTACCTTGAAAAACCTTATTTTCATATACAAAAGGGAGATGCAAAATTAAATAAATATCAAATGCTTTGGAAAAACAGGGCTTATACCATGATCAGTTGATTACCAAACAATTTTAATAGTTAACTTCAAGTGTTTAATTACCTGAAAAATGGTATTTTTTCCATACATGATAAATATTAAAATATTTAAGTGATAAATAAAGCTAAGATCACAAAACAATGGGAAAAGTTGAAACTCAACTTTTTCTAAATATAAGACATTTAGCATATACAGATACTAAATTCCAGGAGGTTTATGGATCAGATGCTGTACCATGAGCCAGAGGAGGATCACCCTTACCCTCAGAGATGGGCAAAACAACTAAGAATAAACTAATATCTCTGGACAGTTTTTAAAACTAAATATATACTGGTGTTAAACTATGATTGGCTAAACCTTCTATTACTGTAAAAAGAGTGCACCTTCTCCTTTAAAGTCTTAACAATGGGTAGATGTGTAGCTCAATTTAAATAAATAAAAACTCAGTTTTTGACAAATTGATCTTTTTCAAATCAGGGCCTTCAAGAGTAAAATTATTTCTCTGTGTTGGAAAGAAAATCTCACACTCAAGTCCTAAGGAAATAATAGCGCATCTCAATTCAGCACCACACAGGCATCAACATTTATGTAAAATTACATCAACTTTCTCTTCAGTCTGTACACACACTGTCAACAGATTTGATCTATTTTGCAGTGCTTTAAAAACCACAACTAAAAACTCTTCCAAGAAATTATTTTAGTTTCTATAAAATTGTCAAGGTGTAGGTTTTAGCCAGGACCTACTTAAATAGGAGGGGGATCTTCTCTCACATTCATTCTTCAGCTTTGCTAATGTATGGGAAGCTCAACTGAAGATGTTAATTTATTATTTATTCATCACCAGTCTCAAATTTGGGTATATGTGCAAAGGTCAACCTGAAAACAACGTTTTCTGCTGTTTCTGGATTTTGCTATTAACCAGGGGTTGGCAACCTATAGCCTGAGAGCCACATCCAGTCTGCGGAGCCATTTGATCCAGCCTGTAGACACGGGCTGTTGGTAGCATTCAGCCATTATGCCCATAAATAATAAGCTTCAAATAAAAGTGCAAACTGCAGATATTAACAATTTTTTTTGGTTGTTTTGGGTTTTTTTTTTAAAGAAAGAATCTAAATTCTTTCAACTATCAAAAAAAATATTAAACAGAGAGAACGCAAGCTTACCTCTTCCTCTTCAGGTTCAGCTTCTTCTGCTTCAACCGCTGACATATTGGTAACTGGCTTATTCCATGCCAATTTCAATTCCTGTCCTTTGAATCGAGATCCATGAATAGCAGCCTAAAGCAAGTTAAAGTAAAAAACTTATTTTAGCTTAGCATTATCTCTACAAGGGAAAATAAATTTTTCAGTAGTTGATCAGGAGCAGTAGGTGTTCCTGAAGAAAACCTATGTTTTTCTTTAATGCCTTCATAAGCTGATTCTAACTATTATAAACAGCTTAAAAATTAAGTAGATTTATTAAATATAATATTTTATCTTGTAGTTTAAGAACTGATAATCAAGTGAGTTCACAAAAACTAACAGATGCAACAAAAAAAGCTTAGTAAGTCATGAATCATATGTAGATAACAGTACTTGATATTACTGCTTTTGAGCAACATTTTGATCTGTGTTTCACCTTTCAAAAATTGACAAAGCTGAAAAACGCTTAATACATAACTTATTAAAGGAACTGAGGCAACCAAAAAATACAAATGGTTTGATGTAAAAAAATTAAACTTGGCGATTATAACTTATTCTACTGGAAAATGTTCTGCTTCTTGTAAAGCCTTTGTAATTGAAATGTAAAAATTTTAACTTATGGGATATTCATGCCTTTCTAAGTACCCAATGCATTAAGTGGCTGCTTTGGAAATAGTATGTTCAAATTAAAGTAACATGAACTAGCATAAATCAGCGTTAGCAACATTCCGAAATAACCGTCACAGTCACAAAAGATTTATAGTACAATCTGAAAGTACAGCATAATGTGAAATGTAGAAACAATTACATGTTCAATGACATCTGAACATGAATTGTGTGATATTAAAGTCCCCAGGTATAAATTTTAAATCTTTACATATAAATTTATGATAAATTTAAAAGATTCCATGCCTATTAAAATGCAGCTCAGGAGCTTTTCGTCCATGGTCTCATCACAATGTCACACAACTAGAATTTTTAAAAGTATTATACGTGACATTTAGGTTCAGAAACAACTTGTAATCTTTTGAAGAAATTACTGCTACATAAAAATGCAACATTTTACAGTAGGGAATCCTCCTCCTCCCTTCCAGGCTAAAATGTACACTATCATAAAATTTAAGCCTCTCTCTTCTGAGAAGGTAAAATATTAGCTACACTCCCTTCAGAACTAAGCCTCTAAGAATGTCTTCTGATGATGTAACTACTTCTGGTCTCACTTTTTATTGCTAATTACTATACTTAAATTGTGCTTTCCTAATAAATGACAAACATTTTCTAGTTAGAATATTTTTGAAGTATTAGAAGAACTGAATTTCTTTGAAATGTCTACATAATTAGGTTCCCTCTCAGGATGGATGAACTTCCTACCACCTGTCAAACAATTTAACATGGCTAAAAGCTGATCAGCGACAAAAAATCATGTTCCCCATACACCAGTCCCAACATCACATGCATCACCCTTACTTTTCAAAAGGAGTTGCAACAGAACTGCCCAGGTTCTGTGGGCATCTCATGAGATCTGTATGCAACTCACCCTTGTTATAGGCCATTCCTACACTCGAGTGCTCTACCACTTTAGAATATAAAAGTTTATTATACTGGCAAATGTATAATGTGGGGGGAGCTACACAGATAAAGCTGAACCTTGGACTTGTAACAGTAGTTATCTGACACCCATTTTTAAGCTAAACCAGCTATCCTAGTACAAACGTTATATGGCCACAATTGCACCTACATAACTGCTGTCAACATGTACTGATTAGGGATCACATCCGACAATTACCCTACTGAAAGAAATTGTAGTGTAGAGATGGCCTCCACACGATTTTCAAACCCAAGTCTGACAGCCAATTCCTACTTTGTAGTTAAGCTGAATGAATTTTTCCCATGATTACAGAAAAACTTCATTGTATAAGTCATCAGTAACAAGAACTTGTGAAATTATGTACAGATGAATTCAGTTAC